TAAAACTCCTTGAGAGCTAAAAAAGTTTTTTTCACTAAAAAGGAATGAATTTTTAGATCTCTTTTAGAGTTAGAAATTTGTTTTTTTTATTAAAAAGAAATGACTTTTTAGAACTTTTTTAGAACTGAAAAGATTTTTTTCATTAAAAAGAAATGACTTTTCAGAACTTTTTTAAAGCTGAAAAAGTTTTTTTCATTGAAAAGAAACATTTTTAGATCTCTTTTAAAACTGAAAATTCATTTTTTCAATAATATTTTCAGATTCAAATTAGATCAGATTTGAATTTAAATTGATTTTTTAAATCTAAATTTGAGATTTAATCTGTTAGATTTAGATCAAATCTGGATTTTAATAAATCTGTCAGATTCAGATCAGATTCAGATCTTGAAAAATAAAAATCAGATCAGATCAGATTTAGATAAAATTTGATTTGATCTGATTTTATGTAATTACGATTGAATAGTATAAAAAAATAGTGAAAAGTTATTTTTATTAATATTTTCAGTAAAAAGCTATTAAAGAAAATATTATTAATCGTAAATGAACAGATAATAAAAAGAGAGTGGTAATATATCTTTAATTACTCTAAAATTATAGTCAAATTTTGTGAATTTGATCTATATAATATTAAAGAATTTCTAAAATATCTTAAGCAGATTACTTATAATAATACTAGTTAAAATCAAAAAAAATTAGACACGCGAAAAATCAGTCTAAAATCAGCTTAAGATCTATAAATTATCAAAAATTGTCTAACAGATTAACATACTTATAGCCAAATGGTATACATTAAAATTGGCTAAATTTAATTATTTTATTTATAGCTGATTAACTTTTGTTTAAAATAATTATATTATATTAAATGAATGATAACTAAAAATTGTTAATTAAAATAATTGTATCATTCTAATTAAATAAAAATTAAAAAATTATTTAATTAGAATAATTGTATTATTTTAATCAAATTGAAAACTAAAAATCATTTAATTGGAATAATTGTATCATTCTAATTAAGTGATATTATAAATTTGTTTGATTAAAATAATTATATCATTCTAATTGAATAATAATACATAAATTGTTCAATTAAAATGATTATATCATTTCAATTAAATAAAAATAAAAATTATTCTTATGAATAATACATTTATCATTCCAAAAACAATTCTATTATAATTTGTTTAGAATAATTTATTATCATTCTAATTAAACAATTCCCTTATTTTTTATTTGAAATAATATTTTATTATTTATTTAGAAAAATGTTTTATCATTCTTTTAGAATAAATTTTTAATTTTCGTTCAATTAGATTATTATATTATCATTCTAATGAACTGAATTTTCAGATTAAACAAATTCGCTAAATAATATTAAATATTTAAAGAATTTGTTAAATTAAAAAGACAATTTTATTAATATTGATTTAATGTATAATTTGAGTTTATTTCTAATATATGTAGGAATATTTATATAAATAAGCTTAATTTTTTTATTTTTTAAAAAATAATTTCAATTCAAACTTTATTTTTTTATAATTATTTCTAAATTTCTCTTTTTTTATATATTATCAAAATACTGAAAACAATTATTTTAAGAATAAAAAGAATTTAAGTTGAATTTTATTAATCAAATAGTTAAGGCTATAATATTTATTACATAATATTAGTTTAATATAAAGCCTAATCCTCCACTCTAATATAAAATATTTAGTAAAATCACGTGATAATAATCATGTGATATCAAATATAATTATATAATAGTAGAAATTTACTATTTTAATAAATTTAGCTATAGTGGCTTTACTGTTTTAAAGTAAATTATCTGCAGGAATGACAAAATGGTTACAATTAACTATTTAATAATTAAACTATAGTGGATTTGCTATTTAATACAAATTAACTTCGAGAGCTTATATTTAATATATTTAACTATGAAAGTTTTATATCTATAAAAGAAAATTTGATGTATTTTTTGGTTTCGCGTTTTTTTTTAAAAAAAAATTGTTCTTAAAAAAATATGTTTACTTATTTCTTTTCAAACTTTTTTAAAAATAAGTCATCAAACCTATTTTGCTAGCCCTAAATTTAATAAAAATTGATTTATGATACACTAACTAATAAATATCAAGAATTTACTAACACCTATGCATATAATATTATAGTAAAAACTGAAAGTACAACCCCAAATCATGCCATTATATGTTATAAAGCTGCAATAGAATGGAAAAATATTAAAAGCAAAAGTGACACAGAAATTGACAATATGATTAAAGAATATATGATTACACCAATTAATCCATATATCATTTCACTAATAAGATCAAACCTTTCTAAAAATATAGTAAAACAAACTTCTTCAACTTTCTCTCTCTCCATTATTAATCTAGTTGAATCTACAATTGAAATCTCTAAGAATGCAATGGCTCAAAGAAAGATATTAGAAGAAATTAAAACATCTGAAAACAAACTAGCTGAATTAAAACAAATTTACAATATTACCACTGACGTTCAGATTCAGCATGATGTATATGCAAAAATAGAACAAGCTGAATCCAAAATTAGTTCTAATAAGGATAAGATTGACAGATTAAAAAGGAATGCAAGATATGTTCAAAATTGCAGAGCAAAGAAACTTAAAATACTTACAGAAAATAAAGAAGTTATCCAATATGATAAACCAGATCGTTTACTCTTCTTTTCGAATATCTAGACTTACATGATCAGATTCATGACTCAGTTGAATTCAGATCAGCTGATTCAAAAAAGAAGAAAAGAAGTAGTTAAAATATAGATCATTGAAAATTTACGTAAGAATTTAGAAGAAAAATATAATATTTACATAGCACAGATAACGTTAAAAAATTATCTTTTATCTCGCCAAGCTAACTCAATTGTCGCAAAGGCTCATCACTATTCAGCATGGGTTGCTGTAGCTAGAGTTTTACATACAGATACTCAAGAACATCCTGATGGGCATTATTATCTCGCATCTATCAAATATGCAAGGCAATTTGCTTTTATGTTTGCCGATGTGTCTGTTATTATTTTTCAGGATGATAAAGCAAAAATTAGTCTTAGAGTGCTTGCAGTAGGTTGAACATTTCACACTTTATAATCAATTAATAAACTTATATCTGTAACTGATCACAATTTTCCTGCAGGAATTAGACAGAACTAATTCTTTCAGTATACTTAATGATAAAACCAAATGATTTAAAAGACGAACTTCAAACAGGGTAGCTTGCAATATTTATATATCTCCAATGGCGTATTAGTACATCTTCGCTTATACATATATAGGATCTGGAAAGCCTTGTTGCAAATTTCCAATATACTGATACATTAAAGGCTAATGTGCAGATTCGTTTTATTTGGATATTATTAGTGGATGGTGGGTCAGATGAGAATCCTCGCCGTTTGAAGAATATAAAGGTATATTATCAGCTCTTTAAAAAATTTGATTTGGATTATCTGAGCATATGAACGTATGCTCTAGGACAGTCCAAATACAATCCTATAGAGAAAGATATAGTGACGTTATTTAAAAAACTTGCTGGTGTTATATTACTGATCGATCACTTTGGAAAGTATTTGTTTCATTCTTACGTCTCATTACGTCAGTCATGAAATCCCCAAGATTTTTTAAAGTATTTGGATCTCTTAATTGTTCAGATAATATGTCGTGAGCCGGAAAAAATTCATTCTTAACGAAGGGGACATCGACAAACCCTCTCTTTACATTTTCTTCTGTCATCTGGTCTTCATCTTGACCAGGTTTCGGAGGATAAAAATCGGGGTGTCCTGTCAATGTAATTAACATTTACAATTAATTGATTAACGATATGATTAGATTTTTACAAGTGCTTGCTAAATTTGAATAAAATCCAAAAATGTTAGAAATTGAAACTTAAGGTTCAAAATAACTTATAAGAATTTTCGCTAAGTAAAGGCAATTTTCAATATACATAAACATATCAAGTACTTTTCGACATACCCAGTTCGGTACTAATCCTGTGAAAAGGAGCCAAATTGTTTGGAGGAACAAGTTTATACTTTTGTAACCGCTGTTGAGACATTTAGAAAGGATGCTAGGCAATAAAGGGATATCAATCAATCAATCAATCAATCAATCAATAAGCAATAATTAAATATTGCTCTATTAAATATGATAGAAAACGAAAGGAAAACTAAAAGATTCTTGATGAACATTATATTTGAATTGCAAATTTTATATACTGATTTTCGTCATGTGACATATGAGGGTTTCGCCAAAGTTCTTGCCTTTTTGGGTAATTTCTTCCTAATAATTTTATAAATTTCTGGCAAGTGTCGAATCGAAATACACATACCACTAAATTTCAATATTTCAAACCGAAGATCCTTAAAGTGCGTATAAGGATAGGTTAAGAAACGTACTGCAGTAAGACTATAATTCCAAAAAAAATTGCTATTCAGCCTTAAGGGTAGAATCAAAGTAAATATATAATTGGTTGCTGATTTAAAATTGGCATAAAATAATCTTATTTCTTATAGCTGTTCTAATGGGCTGAAGTATATCCTCTCGCTTTATCTTGGATCAAAAAAAAGCTGTAATATGTAATATTGATTAACTCGATTAAAATAATTTTAAAAACTCGTTTATATTTATTTGTTTAAAATTGTAACTTAAATCTGTTCGGTTAACCTATAATATAGGTAAACTAATTGGAAAAATGCAAAACCAAACAAATATATGATTTTATAATCTTTTATCTATTATCTTTTTTTTTTAAAGTGATATATAGAATTACTTCTAGATAAAAATAATTATTAGTATTTTAAAGAAAAAATAAGAAGATTATACCTTATATTTTCAAAATAAATGATACTTAAATACTTGAAACTTATCTAAGAAATAAAAAGATTACTTATGAAATTTATCAAGCAGAAAGTAAAATCATAACTAGTAAAAAAAATTTTATCACAAAATCATGAATTTAAAAAAAAGAAAAATAATTTACTAGCTAATTTAATATAGGTAAGTATATATTTACTATCTTTTAAAGATTAAAGATATTAAAAAAAATTTGATAAAAAAAAAATTAATATAAATTGATTTAATTTGCTTATGTTTTATTTCAATTATTTCTTTTTATTTCTTTTTTAAATGAATTTTCTTAATTATTTTTTTTTATAATTTATTTTTTCCAAAGATTTATTAATTAAATATAATTCTTATTTTAATTGCTAAATTTTTTTAACTTATTGATTAATTTCTACTTACAATTCATTTTCTTTACATATAAAGTTAAAATAAATTTCTTATATTTTCTGATTTTTAATTATTTTTAATTGATTTAATCTTTTAGCTAATTTTTTTTCTTTTATTTTTTGATTATTTTTAAACTATTTAAATAATATATAAATTTTTTCTTTTTTTAAACTTTAATTTTCAAATAATTAATCAATAATTTCTTTTCTTTCAATTCTTTTTCTAGTTCTTTAATTTATTCATACTTTTTTTTAGAATTAAGTTATATTTTTAATTTACCTTTTCAACTTCTTTTTAACTCCTAATTTTTTTTTGTATAAATTCCTTTTAATAAAAAAAGTTCTTTACTTTTACTTTTTTCTCTAATATTTTATTTTTTTTATTTTTTTTATTTTTTAAATTTTTTTTTAATGCTAAAATAAAAATTATTTTTGTTTTGTCTAACTTAAAATATTTCTTTTAAATTTTTTTTAACTTAATATAATTATTTAGTTTGATCAATAAATCTTTTTTCTTAATCTTTTAATTTTTCTAAATTATTTAATTCTCATGATTTTTATTTGATATTATTAATTATTTTTTTATTTTTTTTTATTTTTATTATTATATTTATTACTATAATAAAATTTTGAATTTTAAATTTATTTTTTAAAAATAAGTAAATATTATTATAAAAGTATTCTTGCTTAAAAAAATAATATTAATACTAAAATAAATAATGTTCCAATTTTTTAAAAATATCAATTTTCTTAATTTTTAATAAATTAAACTTAATAAAAATTTATTAATAATTTCTTAAATTTGATAACATTAAAATTTAGATATTTTAAAAAAAAATATAATAATACTTTTATAGACAATTTAATTTTAAAATAAATTTCTAAAATAGCTTTAATAACTAAGTATTAAAAATTATTTTACCTTTATAACATTAATTTTTATTTAATTCTATTAACTAAATCTTTTATTATCTTAATTATATAATCTACTAATAATAATAAATAATAAATAATAAATCATTTGCTTAATCAATTAAATTTTAAATTTTTTAATAATAATTAATTAATTCAATAATTTAATAAGTTGTATAATTATCTAACTTGATTATAATAAAATAATTTAAAATTATTAAAATTTTATTTTGCAAATGTAATTATATGATTTAATTTATTATAAAAAAATAAAATTTATTATAATAATTACACAAATATATTATTTTATTAATAACAAAATAATTAGATTAATAATAATATATTATTTATTAATTAGCATTTAAATTAATTTAAAAAAATGATTTAAATATTCATAAATATAGATAGATATTCTATTAATTACAAAATAATTTGAATATCTATTATATATAAAGTTGCTTATCTAAACTCATTTTATATTTGGCAAAATATCTAAACTATAGTTTTATTAAAATTTTTTATTAAAGTTTTAATATTATTTCAAATTTTTATAAGCTTTGATATAGTTTTATCTTTTTTAGAATTTCGCAGATTTTTTAATAAAGTTTTAATATAATTTCACTAAATTTTACCTTTTTCCATTTAGATGACTTGTAAAACCTTTAGCTTTCATCTAGTAATCTTAATATAGCTAAATCAAATAGTAAAATATTATATCAAAAATATCTTGAATAGTAATGTTCAGTATAGATTCAGATCAATCTGAATCCAATTTGAATCTGACAGATCAGATTCAAATTAGATCTGTCAGATTCAGATCTAATTCAAATTCAGATTCAGATTTGATCTGATCTGTCAAATTCAAATTCATATTTAAATCTGATCTATTAGATTCATATTAAATTCAGATCTGATCTACCAAATTTGAATTCAACTTTTTTAAAACCAAAAAGTTCCTTTTCAATAAAAAGGAACAAATTTTCAGACTTCTTTAAAGCTGAAAATTTGTTTCCTTTTATTAAAAAGGAATGAATTTTTAGACTTCTTTTAGAGCTAAAAAGTTTCTTTTATTGAAAAAGAATGAATTTTCAGATTTCTTTTAGAATTGAATAATTCCTTTCATTAAAAAGGAATAAATTTTCAGATTCTTTAAAGCTAAAAAGTTCTTTTTATTGAAAAGGAACAAATTTTCAGATTTTTTTAGAACTAAAAAGTTCCTTTAATTAAAAGGAAATGAATTTTTAGATACTTTTAGATCTGAAAATTTGTTTCTTTCATTAAAAAAAATGAATTTTCAGATCTCTTTTAAAGCTGAAAAGTTCCTTTATTGAAAAGTAATAAATTTTCAAACTTCTTTTAGAGCTGAAAAATTTCTTTCATTGAAAAGAAATGAATTTTTAGATCTCTTTTAAAGCTAAAAAGTTCCTTTTATTAAAAAGGAATGACTTTTTAAAACTCTTTTAGAGCTAAAAAAGTTTTTTTCATTAAAAAGGAATGAATTTTTAGATCTCT